GGACTTTCTGACAAGACAGACTATTACTTTATAGGCCAGCTGAAAAGATCTCAATGATAAGTTACCATAAATTAAGCCTACGCTAACTGAAGCTGTACATTGAATTGAACAATAAACACACTGCAGTAGACAACAAAATTGGTTTTGTTTGGTTGCGGGAAATTGGAGGTAATGCATTGCCGGAAATGGTGAAAAGTACAATTAAGCTCCAAAAGTTACACTTTTTGTCATTAATTTAGTACAATTTAAAAATCTCAAATATCAACATCCTTTATAAGTTTAAGCACATACGATCAAATGTAAAAAAAATATTTAAAATTGCGGATCCGAAAGAAATATAATATAGTTGCATTGAGCTACGCAAAAATAGTGCCGAAAATCAATCGATTGTGCTGAAGGTGTCGGCTGCTTCCGAAAGGGGCGAAAATGGCACAATGCACACTCATTATCCAGCACTGTCACACATACAATCTCACTATTCTGTTGACTTCGTTTTCCCCTTCCGACAACTTTTGGTTTCCGCGCTTGCCAAGTACCGCGACACATATGTGCTGATTTGGGCATCCCTACCTTTGACAATAGAAGGGGGTTTCTCCGCTCCACACCACAAAATCATTGTACAAGAAACTAGACATTTCCTTATTTAATGATTCCCTCATTTTTATTTAAAAAAAAATACCAAAATTATGCAGATAAAAAGGCTGTTTATTGAAAAAAACGTAAGAATGAGAGAGAGCTGCTAGTTTCTGCTACTTTTTTGGGTTAAGAAACGCTTTCCAACAGATTCTAGTGAGCCTAATGCATACGGTGACCATCCGTCCTCTATTTCAAAGGACAGTCCTTTATAATTGTTTTCAAAATAAAGGACACTTTTTGTCCTTTATTTCTTAAACTGTCCTTTAAACTCTTAAACGCAGAATATGAAAAATAAAAATGTCCCTTATAAAATATAATGAAAACCTTCGCCAGTTAGTTTCGCACCCCACTTAAAGGTTTATATTTAATCGGTTATCTTTGTACAATCTATAAAGCACAGGGAAAGTTGTGCCCAGGTTCGTGTTGCACGCTGAGTTTCCAGTTTCACTGAAAGAGAACAATAAACCCCCAGCTACACAGTGGTTCAAAACTGGCATTTAGTGTTCGTAATTCACTGGAGCCTTCAGTTTTCACTTCATTTGATTAATTTTAATTTATTTTTATGAAAGCTTACAATATTTGCAAGAGACCAGTTGAGCCTGATTTCTGAGAGAAAAAGTAGCAATTTTGAAAAAAATTTATTCTTCTGTTCCAGTTAATAAATATTTCATAACAAAAACTAGTTGAAAACAATAGTATTGGTTCTCTCAAAACAAAAAAAATTAACAAAAAAAATTTTGAAATGTTATAAAAAAATGTTCACCAAAATAAATATTTTTTTTTGCTTGTTGGTAAAAATTGGTTGAAAATTAAGAATCCGGTGGATTATGAACATTAAATTCCAATTTTGAGCCACTGGCTTCGTCGAAGTCCTTGAAAAGGATTTGGCATCATTTCTCGCTACAGCAGGGGAACTTGTACAATTAAATAATATTAGCAGAACACCCGACGTCGTTCGTGGTAAACAAATGAAAATATAAAACAGTAGTACAAATATTCAGTTCAGCATAAATTAAAGGAGACAAACTATTTTCTTTCAGTTTAAATTAAGGCATCCTTATGTACCATACGTTTAGCCTTATCATGCTTCAACTTCTATATATTTGTCATTATTTTTCGTATTACAAAGCTTGTTTCATTATTAATATTAGGTGGATTAAGGCAACGATAGAATTTTTAAATTAAAACTAGTCTACTACAGTACATTGCGTTTAGCTGCCTATTCGCTTAGCTGTTTTAGTATAGCTGCACTTTCCGGTAGAATGTTTATTTCGGAGTTTTATTCATTATGAATGAACATTTTTCGTTTAACAGGATCGCGGGATCAAAAAAATGATTTAATCTTTCCAATCCTAAATGGTCTAAAGGCTGTAAGGTTTAAAAAAAAATACAGTTTTAAATATCCAAGTGATATAATAGGTGAATACATATTTATCCCCCTTTTAGAAAGTCATTTATATATACTTTACTCTAAACACCTCCCACATATACATATGTCTGCATACCAAATTCCAATATTGTTATAACTTTAGAACTACTTGTTCTCTAAACATGAAACTTTCCCAAAGATCTCCGTATATATTTGTTAATAATGCTGCATTAAAACAAAAAAAAAAAACAATTTAACTTCCAAACTCAACTTTTGCATTTGTAATAACCATCTTCTTAACTTTTATAAAAAAAGTAAACATATCCGCCATTTTGTTTTTAATAAGTAAAGTGTGAATAGACCATATGCGCAGAGAGAGGAAATTTTTATTTCGCGCATTGCGCGACCTTCTATGCATAGATCTTGCTCCGAGGGTACTATACAACACAGGCCTTTTTGTGCATAAAAATGTGTGAATGTATGTCAATAGATTCATGATTCAATAATACAAGGTTAAATAACCTTGCAGTTGTTTCGCTTCCGCATTCTGCCTTAGCCTGTGTTGTTTTCTTTTTTGATTTATAGAAACTACTACTAAAATACGAGGAGAAATATTTTATTCGTATAAAAAGTTCAACGGGCAACACTGCCGATATTTTCATCGATTGTTTCGGGTAAATTCATATTATTATTGCCCAAATTCAAGTAAGTATGCCAAAAAAATTGGAAATTATGGAAATATTTTGAATCAAAACAATAATTTACATATTTCTTTGCAGAGTATCAGAGTTATTCATAATTTGTATTCAACAAGTAATTTTTAGCAAAAAAAAAACCGACTTCAACTCCCATATAAAAAAAAAAAATATATATATATATATCTCATGATCCGCTGATCGGATCTTAACCAGATTAGTATGGGACCACCTCTGAGACACTACCTTTCCGATTATCGAAATCGGTTGACGTGGTCCAAAGTTATGCGGTAACATACATAAAAAAAAAAAAAAAAAGATTCCGACGAACTGATAACCTCCTCCTTTTTTGGAAGTCAGTTAAAAAGTAGTGCTTTACAACAAGTGCAGCCGTTGCAAGTAAGTTTTGCGTACTAGGATCCCTGTGTGTCCGTTCACATATGGCTGGCCACTCGGAACTACTTTGGTCAAGTGCAGTCGTTGCATACTTACAAATAAATGTGAAAGTACAAATATTAACAAATATTTTTTCTGGTGCAGGTCAGGATCATTTGTGTATACATCCACGTTGGCTGGTGCATGTATTTTTACCACTGCAGCCTTTGGGTTGGTAAAGTGCAGCCTTTGCATATTTACAAGTAAGTATATCACCCCATAAAAGAGAAAGTGCAAATATTACTAAAGATATTTTCTTGTGTGTGTCTGTCCACATTCGCTGGTGCAGGGATTTTTACCACTGCAGCCTTTGGGTTCGTCGAGTGCAGCCTTTGCATATTTAAAAAAACCAAATGTAATTAAATTACGATACTCAAGATCTAACTTTTAAATGTAACCAATTTAATGACTAACAAGACTGATTGGAGAAAAGAGTTGAAAACATTACCAAAAATTTACATTTTTAAAAAACCAAATGTAATTAAATTGCGATATTTAAGACATATTTTTAAGTGTAACCAATATAATGATTAACAAGACTGATTGGAGGAAATAGTAAAAAAAAATTACAAAAACATTACATTTTTAAATAACCAAATGTAATTAAATTACGATATTGAAGACGTATTTTTAAAGTATAACCAATATAATGATTAACAATACTGATTGGAGGAGAAAGTAAAAAACATTACATAAAAATTACATTTTTAAACAACCAAATGTACACACATTTTTAAAGTGTAAGCAATATAATGATTAGCAAGACTGATTGGAGAAAATAGTAGAAAACATTACTAAAAAATTTAAATAAAAAAAAAAACAAATGTTATTCAATTTAAGATATTGAACGTGTAATTTTTAAATGCAATAAATATAATAATTTTTAAAAGATTAATTTATATGCGTTATATCAACTGCATATTTACTATTTGTATATTTCTTCATATAGTCCCTTTGAATAAACAATTTGTTTGAATTCCGTTAATTTTGTTTTATATGGGCGTGTGTGAACCGGTTACAAAGTTCTATGGGGAAAGCTTTTGAGGAACATTTTTACTATGGTGTGACAGTTTTGGCAATCTGCTGTGAGAAATTAAATCTTTTTTGACAGCAGTAAATTTTTTATAACCGCAGATTTATGCGGAATAAAATATTACAAATTGAAGTGAAATTAATATTTTAAGAAAATATATACCATTGTTGATTGCAGTTCAACAATTTAAGCTTTTATCTAACGAAAAATTACACAATCAACTATCTTTGCGATTGTCAAAATTTTCTATGCATTTGTCAAAAGTTTCACTAGCCTCATGAGCTACTGAAATTTTATTCACCTCATAGCTGTCAAAAGTTTACTCGCCGCCAACTTTGTTACCGATTCACACACGCTCTATATACTGGAATTTCAATGAAACCATGGTTTGTTTTGAATATTTGGGAATATTTGTCGATAAGATTTTTCTTTTGTCAGAATTTTTGTGTGAATGTACATTTATTTCATTTTTGATATCTATATGGCATGTTTAATATACCATAAAAAAGTTAATTCATTGTATATTGTGTAGATAAGTGGAATCTGATTCATAAATATAATTATAATTTATACAAAAACGCATTTCAGAACTACCAGACTACTTTTCCTACTACTTTTTCACAAAAGGGGATGAAATGGTTACCCACTTTCAAGGCAGTCGATTGACACAAATGTCAATATTTTTCCAACTTTGTATTATTGAATCATGGCATTTATGTAATAAAAATCTCCGTCACCTTCAGTCATCATTTCCGAGCTAAACCCAACTGGGTACGCTAGATGATTTATGCTTGTTAACCTTTCCATTATTTTTTATTTACCCGATACATAGGTTACTGCCACGGACGATGATGTAGATAGACCGATGAGTATTGTATATTTCCTTACCGGTCAGGGCATCGACCCGGACAACGCAGCAAATAGTAAATTCGATATAAATCGCACAACAGGGGATATTTTTGTGTTAAAGGTAAGTGAATATATGTAGTACTTACATCAGACGTGTTAAATAATGACACTAGATCATAAATTTTAATTTTGATTTTGTTCTCCAGATGCCACTAATCAGTGTGTATGTAGAACCGCTCGCTGATTCCGAAAATCGAGTTTATTTATTTTTGGATGGATACGTTTTCGAAATATTTGCAAGTTACTGTTATTCAGCTTAAAAAACAAAGTGGTTCCACTTAATCAAGTACAGTACAGTAAATGAAAGAAAATAAAATTCTCTATAAACCGTGTATACATCACTTTTTGATAGCCCTGATAGTTTCTCAGAAATTAATTAATCATTCCAGATTTTTCGTTTTTTTGATGGAAAAATGAAAAAATTTTAAACTTTAACAGGGAAAAAAGTAAAAAATTAAAAGTTTCTGTGTAAATATTTTGTACTTGTGTTAAAGCCTGTTCCTTTAGAAAAAAAACGGAGCTACTAATGAAGAAAATCGATAAACAAATAAGAAAATAATGATTGGTCAAATAAAAAAAGCGCAAGGATTTTTTGTATGAAATATGAGCAGAAAAGAGTATCACTCATACGCCACGTACACCTGAGTAGGTAGAGTGTTTGCATCGAAAACAAGAGGCGTCAGAAGTAATTAATTAATTTCTCAGAATCTATCAGGGCTATGGAAAAGTGTTGTAAATATGTTTTATGGAGAATTTCATTTGCTCTCATTTCCCTTATCTCGTAATAGGATTATTTTATTGGTTCGTAAGATATACGTGATTAAGTGAAACCGCTATTTTTTAAAGCTGAATAACGGTAAATTGCAATTATCTCGAAAAGTTATCCACAGAAAAAAAATTATCTCAATTTTCGGAATCACCGAAGAATTCTAGATGGGAATTGGATAGTGGCATCTGGAGAACATTCTTGCTGTAAACCAGTGTGATTAACGATCATGATGAATATTAATTTATGAGCGCAATTTTTGGTAATCTTTTAAATATTAAACACCATTATTTGCAACTTTGTAGTAATTAATAATGAATTACTTAAAAAAAAAAACATTAACTAATAAATTTTAATTCAATAACTATTTTGTTATTTTTATTATTTTCAATTATTGACGTAGAATACGTCTTACGTTTCAATATGGAGGCTATGCTGAAATGTTGTAGTTGTAATTTTTAGAGCTTCGCGTTTTGCTTATTGCACGAGAACTAATGAAGCAATTTCAAAGAAAAGTGTGGCATTTCAAAGATAAAATTCCAAACCTATCACATTCATTTTTGTAAGTAACCAATTCGATTTCTGTCGTAAAAAGCACGGTAAACATTGGCTTATTTTGGGGTAAATTTTGAGCCTTTAAAGTTCTCCAGCAGCTTATGATTTGCAGATAGAACTTTCATTTTCGGGACATAGATTCTTTGGAGCAATAAAAATATTATCATGTACAGATTTTATATAAATTCATCAAATATTGAGCATTTTAAGGCGAAAAATTGTTGAGAAAATTAGCAATTTTTTTTTATTACCAAAATGCTTGAAAACCGCTCGAATGATTTTGTTTTTGTTTCCTTTAATCAAAAATTCAAGAGTTTTCCTTTCGTTTGGTATATGGGAAGTATTGGTTAATATCTTCTAAGTATGTTTATTTGATTCAAATATATGGGCATAAATGATTTCCCATACAAAATCACTTCGTCATCGTTTTGCAAACACGTGCATGCGGAGGAAGTGAGGGAAGGAGACAAAAAGTATGTATGTGGGCGTAAGTACATATTTCGGTTTTTGATAAACAGATGGCGCAATATTTATAACCTAATCGCAGCGTATTTATGTACAGTGAAACCCGCTTAAGTACCCCCCGCTTAAATACCTAACCCGCTTAAGTAACCAACTTTTTTGGACAATGTGAATTTTTGAATGTAATCTGAAGAAAATCCCTCTCTTAAGTACCTCCCGGCTTATTTCCCCAACCCGCCTAAGTACCTCAATTTTTCGTATCCCATTTACCATTTTACNAGCGTATTTATGTACAGTGAAACCCGCTTAAGTACCCCCCGCTTAAATACCTAACCCGCTTAAGTAACCAACTTTTTTGGACAATGTGAATTTTTGAATGTAATCTGAAGAAAATCCCTCTCTTAAGTACCTCCCGGCTTATTTCCCCAACCCGCCTAAGTACCTCAATTTTTCGTATCCCATTTACCATTTTACCTATAACTTTCCTCTTTGAAGAGCTCTTTTAAAATTCCTTAAAATATTTACATATTTTGAATCTCAGTGGCAGCGTTACACACCTTCGGCAAAAAAATTATAATAAATCAACGGTAATTTGTACCCACTTGAAACTTGCACATTATTACACCAAAATTGAATGGGCTATAAAACTGTACACTCAAAAAACGCATCTGAGAAAAAAAATTTTAATTTTCATGCAATTTTTTCTTTAAGTGTTCTATAAAATCTTAAGCTTAGGTTTACATGGTATTTGTTAGGGAATGAACTGTATTTTAATTGAAAAATCTTAAATAAATACGTATACTTATTAAATGTTTATATTTTATTCAAGGATTTATGTACATATTTATGCAAGTTAACAAAAAGATATAACTCATCAATAATTATGTTCGCTTAAGTACCCGCATTGAGGTACTTAAGCGGGTTCTTTTAAGTACCCACCCCGCCTAAGATGTAACTCATCAATAATTATGTTCGATGCGGGTACTTAAGCGGGTTCTTTTAAGTACCCAACCCGCAAAGGTAAAAATAAAAACAAAAACAAAGTTGCGTAAAGATAAAGGCAAAAATGAAGACCAAGGTAGATTTAAAAACTTTACTTATATAAGGGCGAAGGTGAACGGGAATATGTATATGAAGAATATGATAAACATAAAAATAAAAACAAAGATAAANCTTTCCTCTTTGAAGAGCTCTTTTAAAATTCCTTAAAATATTTACATATTTTGAATCTCAGTGGCAGCGTTACACACCTTCGGCAAAAAAATTATAATAAATCAACGGTAATTTGTACCCACTTGAAACTTGCACATTATTACACCAAAATTGAATGGGCTATAAAACTGTACACTCAAAAAACGCATCTGAGAAAAAAAATTTTAATTTTCATGCAATTTTTTCTTTAAGTGTTCTATAAAATCTTAAGCTTAGGTTTACATGGTATTTGTTAGGGAATGAACTGTATTTTAATTGAAAAATCTTAAATAAATACGTATACTTATTAAATGTTTATATTTTATTCAAGGATTTATGTACATATTTATGCAAGTTAACAAAAAGATATAACTCATCAATAATTATGTTCGCTTAAGTACCCGCATTGAGGTACTTAAGCGGGTTCTTTTAAGTACCCACCCCGCCTAAGATGTAACTCATCAATAATTATGTTCGATGCGGGTACTTAAGCGGGTTCTTTTAAGTACCCAACCCGCAAAGGTAAAAATAAAAACAAAAACAAAGTTGCGTAAAGATAAAGGCAAAAATGAAGACCAAGGTAGATTTAAAAACTTTACTTATATAAGGGCGAAGGTGAACGGGAATATGTATATGAAGAATATGATAAACATAAAAATAAAAACAAAGATAAATATAAAGAAAAGGATGAGGATGAGGATACCGATAAAAGTATAGATGAAGATAGAGGAAGAAAGATTAAAGTAAAGGTAGTTGTAGAGAAAAGGATATAGATAGAGGCACAGAGACTCAATCTGGGAACTTTTTTGGGATTTTAGAGATTTTCGGGATTGTCGTGACTTATCGATATAATCGATATTTCGTCGGTTTTGTGATCGATATGTTCATCGATTTTGTTATCCAAATTTTTATCGATTTTGTTATCGAAATTTTTATCGATATTGTTATTGATTCTGCTATCGACATTTTCGGAACTTATAATGATCGATATTTTATCGATTTTGTTATCGATATTTTTTATCGAATTTGCTATCGATATTTTTATCAGTTTTGATATCGAGCTTGTTATCGATATTTTTATTGATTTTGTTATCGATTTTGCTATCGATTTTATTATCGATATTTCTATAGATTTTGATGTCGATATTTTAATCGATTTTGTCATCGTTATTTATATAGCTTTTATTATCGATATTTTTATTGATTGTGTTAACGATTTTGCTACCGATATTACTATCGCTTTTGTTATCGATATTGTAACTGACTTTTCTATAGATATTTTAGGAACTTATCGATATTTTTTATCGATTTGGTTATCGGTTGTTTTATCGATTTTGTTATTGATTTTGCTATCGATTTTACTATCGATATTGCTATCGGTTTTGCTATCGATTTTACTATCGATATTATTATCGATTTTGCTATCGATTTTGTAAACCATATATTCATCGATTTTGTTGTGAAGCAACACATCAATATTTTAATCAGTTTTGTTACCGATATTTTTATCGGTTTTGCTATCGATATTGTTATCGCTTTTGTTATCAATGTTCTCATCGGTTTAATTATCGACATTTTTGTCGATTTTGCTATCGATATTGTTATCGCTTTTTATCGATATTTTTATCGATTTTGTTATCGACTTTTTATAGATTTTGTAATCGATTTTTTGATAGATTTGGTAATCGATTTAGTTAACGATTTTGTTATCGATATTTTTATCGGTGTTTTTTACGATATTAAACTCGATTTTGAAATCGATATTTTCATAGATTTTTTTTTATCGATTTTGCTATCGATATTATTATCGTTTTCGTTATCGATATTTTTTTCTTAGTGTGGCTACAGAAGAAGTGCTCAACTGTTTGTTTCTCCTCCTCATCTCTGCAACTTCTGCAATATTCATAGGATAATATTCCTAATCTCGAAGCGTGCCTACCAAATAGCCATGGACCGGTTACACCAGGCATGACCGTCGAAATGTTCTCCCTTGAGAGACTGAGCTCTTCGGTTTTTATACCTTTCATGAGCATGAAATGGTATTATAACTTTGGTCCGATGTTTGTAAGTACCAGAATAAGAAGAGA